CGGGAAAATCCCCTGGCAAAGAGATAGGCTACCCACTCCAGTATTCTTGGACTTCCCTTGTGGCTCAGCTGGTAAAGAATCCTTCTGCAACATGGGAGACCTGGGTTCGATCCCTGGCTTGGGAAGATCCCCTGGAGAAGGGAAAGGCTATCCACTCCAGGAGAATACCAGAATACTGGGTCGCATAGAGTCTGAAACAACTGAGCGACTTTCACTTAACATGTGTAAGGTTAAACAAATACATCCATAGCAAGGAGTACTATTTAATAAAAAAAAGTAAGGTATTCTTGATACATTCAAAAACTTATATGAATCTCCAAAGAATTATGCTGAGTGAAAAAAGCTGATCCCCAAAATTGCAAACTGTAACCTTAGAACAAATTATTCTATTTACGTAACATTACAGTGTGTTCCTTTGTAGCCTAGTGGTCAGCATTCCAGGCTTTCGCTGCTGGGACCTGGGTTTAAGCTCTGATCAGGGAAGAGATCCCACAAGCTGCATGGCACAGCTGAACAAAATAAAGTGTGTGTATGTGTGTAGTATGTGTGTGTTTATGTAACATTATTGAAATGACAAAATTATAGAAATGTAGAAGGCACTAGTGGTTCCCAGGAGTAGAGGAGAGTTGAGAGTAGGATGAAGGTAGATATGCTACTGAGGGTTCCTTGTGGTGATGGAAATATTGTATGAACTGACTGGATCAATGTCAGTGATATCCTACTATAGTTTTGTAAGGTGTTACCAAAAGATATATGGGATTTCTCAGCATTATTTCTTACCACTGCCTGTAAATTCACACTTAAATAAACAATTGTATGAGTCAATTCATGTTCAGCATTAGAATTATTTAAGTTTAGGATTTTTTGTGAAATAAAATGGGACTTTCTTTTAGCTTCTAGCTGATCAATAAAAATGAATTCATCTTAGTTTCATCCTTTCATTCTTAATGCTATAGTTCAGGTGAATGTTTCATTAGTAGAATTACTACTCTCTTGTTTGCTAATATAACTGTCTAATCTGACAATTGATTAGTTTTCCTTTAAAAGATGTTGATTTGAGAAGTGCTCCTATCTTCAAAAGCTCTTGGAATTTATACATTATGCAAGTCTTTGAAAAATATTGTATATTTCTCTAATTTGTCAGGCAGAGAAAAGAACCACTATGTTCAATGGTTTGTCTTCTATCACTGCTCTGTTTTTACTTTTGGACTAACATGTTTTAGATTGTTGGCTGTTTTTACTTCATTCATCATCCAAATTTGTTTCAATAAAAGCAAGAGTCTAAATAGAAATAAAAACTACTGCAGTGTCTTCATAAGAGCAAAACTTTCCATACTATTCATTCATTCAACAAATGTTTACTGAGTGTCTATTATATTTTGGGCGCTATTCTAGAGGTGGGGGAAACAGTAGAAAACAAGACAAAAAATTCCTGTCTTCATGGAGTATTTATATTCTAGAAGGAAAATGGAAACAGGTAACTGAAATATGTAGCATGTTGAATAGAGATCATTGCTATGGAGAAAAAGGCAGAAAAGGGGACTAAGGAATGTAGGTTAGTTAGGTGCATTATTAAATAATTTCAGCAGGGAAACTCTTGTCTTATTTATAATGGTGAATAATCACACTGTAACATGTTTAAATGTAAGTTTTCCAACTGCTGCTGCTGCTGCTGCTAAGTCACTTCAGTAGTGTCCAACTCTGTGTGATCCCATAGACGGCAGCCCACGAGGCTCCCCCGTCCCTGGGATTCTCCAGGCAAGAACACTGGAGTGGGTTGCCATTTCCTTCTCCAGTGTGTGAAAGTGAAAAGCGAAAGTGAAGTCGCTCAGTCGTGTCCGACTCTTAGCGACCCCATGGACCATAACCTACCAGGCTCCTCCATCCATGGGATTTTCCAGGCAAGAGTACTGGAGTGGGGTGCTATTGCCTTCTCTGAAGTTTTCCAACTAGTTACTAGTTAATCACTAGTCGTGTCTGACTCTTTGCAATCCATGGACTGCAGTCAGCCCAACTCCTTTGTCCATGGAATTCTCCAGGCAAGAGTACTGGAGTGGGTTGCCATTTCTTTCTCCAAGTTGCCCAAAGGTACTTATAATTCTCTGTAAAAGACTATGGCTATAGAACAGGAATTTGCAACCTTTTTCTTCACTGTGGTGCATGTGACTAATGACATTCATATGTGTGACACACTCCCATAACTGAACCAGTGATGAGTGAGACTTCTTGCGTGCCATAAGTAATTCCTGGTACCTGGCTATAATTCTACCTTTCATTCAAGAAAAGCAACTCAAATGTCATTGAGAATGAGTGAGAATATATGCTACTGGGATAGTCTTAGATTTGAATATATATTTAAAATACATCAGATCCCCTGGAGAAGGGAATGGCTACTCACTCCAGTATTCTTGCCTGGAGAATTCCATGAACAGAGGAGTCTGGTAGGCTATAGTCCATGGGGTTTCAAAGAGTCGGATACAACTGAGGGACTATTTTTTTTTTTAATGTAGTCCTTTATTGCTTGCAATATACAACTTATTCCAACACATTTGCATGTTGAATCATTGGCATTGAAAGTAAGAGCAATTACATGTAATTGCTACTTGATAATTAGTAATATCTAGTTGGTAGCTCACAAAACTTCTACCTGTTTCTAGGGAATAGGCAGCTACAACATTGATTTTACAAACTGGAAAGTTGAGTCAAAGGGCAAAAATTATAGAGTCAATAGTTTTAGAATAGTTTCAGAGGAACACTCCTGATGGATACATCAATAGAAGCTGAAATTTTGGCATTAAAGCAAGCAAATACTCAGTAGGCTGAATGACTGAATTTGCTGCCTAAGCGGGCAAGTTTTTATGGCTTAAAAGTTAAGTAAATCCATTGTTATTCTATTGGTACTCAGTATTACTACTCATTGGTTCAAAACATTTCAAATGAGAAAAATGCCAAGAAATAACTGCATCCAGCCAATAAAGCTTAAAGTAAAAATTCCTTGCCATAGGAGTTATTTTCAACGCAATAAGCATTTATGAAATGTCCACTATGGAATAAGCCTGTGCTATGCACTGGAGGCCAAAGAGAATTCTTTTACTGATTTGAAATAGATCTAGTTTTTATTGATTAGTATATAGTCTAACAGTGTTAGCCTTGATATGTCCTATATGGTAGATGTATCATAAGATTATGTAATTAGATATTGGCTTAGAAATTTTCAGGAGGAAAAAAAAATCCAATAAAAGTGAATATGATGTCAAATACCTCATTTATTTGGGGGGCTGAGTGAAGTATGAGACAGGGGTTTAAGTAAGGAATCACTTGGCCCCATACTCAGTGGAGTGTGTGAACTATGCTGGTTATCACTCACAATTCCAAGTCCTCATTTCATCCCTAATGAAAGGAAACTTGAAAATTACCTGTCTCTACACATTTTCAGGAATCAAATTCAGTTTGATCATGTTTCTCATGCAAATCCAAGCCTTAATGGGAAACTCCTCAACATGCCACATGAGTTCCCAATGTAATATGTTGTATCTTGGTCTACAGGGTAGATGAGGGATTCTCTGAGGTTCCTACCTCCATGCCTGCCTTTCAAAAGCATTATATGGACTTCTTCATCATTAGGACTGAATCCACAGGATACCATTCTCTTTCTGTTCTCCTCACCCTCCAAAAAAAAAAATAAATGACTCCTTACTCATTTTTCTAGTCAACAGGAGATGCAATTACAGATACAGAAGTATTGAGTTGGCCAAAAAGTTCTTTCAGATTTTCCATATGCTGTTTTAGGAAAATCCGAACGAACTTTGTGGCCAACCCTATACTTGGAAATGCTGAGCATATCGTTTAGTCTTAATTCTAATTTTTGGAAGTGTGTTCCAGAGCATGCATAAAGAGAGCTATCTGCCAAGGGTTATTGTGGTTAATAAAAATTCCACTTCCCTCCATGAAGTTAGCATAATTCTGGACTTAGCTGAGCTCCCTGGTGGCAAAAAGACTCAGTAACATAAAATTTTTTTCAAATGCTGAGTCTGGAAAAAAGCCAAATGAATGATACTCATTCTTAAAACTTAATCACTACATGTACTATGTCCATAGTCGCATTTTTGCACATTTTCATTTCACATCTGTATTTAATGGCAGGACTTAGTTGGCCAAAATGTAACCTTGTTAGTTATCTCATGGTTAAGCATCTTCACAGGTCTTCAATGTTCATTTCTTGAACAAGAAAAGAGGCATGTTTCCCATGTGATGATAAGTAACATAAAATCAGGGATTCATTCATTCTTTTAGTACTTGATTGTTGAGTGCTTACTACATACGAAACACTGAAATGAAATTAACTGTTATTATGGGGTCTTTTTTCCTATTTATTGGTTCTTCATTTGTCATGGATGATTGAGTTGACTGAACTAGAGTTTATCACACTCAAATACTTTGCTGGTTTGATCTGGCTGCGGTTTCTTCTATTTCTTTTTCTACATTGGCAATAATGACTATGTCCTATCTTTTGCTTTAAGCAAACACTTCTAGTGCTAGTGTAATGCAAGCATTTAGAATTTTAAGTCAGACACTACCTCTAAGTTTTCTCATTTACTAAAAGGAAGATAAACCTTAAGACTCTTTTTGCTTAGCCATTTAGGATTTTATGATGTTAGTTTATCAATGCTGACTCCAAGGGGAAATGTTTTTGCAAGCAAAGTTCTAGGGAGCCTATGGGCTTCCCAGGTGGCTCAGTGGTGAAGAATCTGCCTCCAGCACAGGAGATGCAGGAAACACAAGTTCAATCCCTGGATTGGGCAGATCTCCTGGAGAAGGAAATGGCAACCCACTTCAGTATTCTTGCTTGGAAATCTCATGGACGAAGGGGTCTGGTAGGCTCCAGTCTATGGGGCAGCACAGAGTCAGACATGACTGAGCATGCATGCATGGTAAAATTAAGTAGGTGAAATGTATCTTCTCTTCTTCCACTCCTCTGACATTTCTCTCTCTCTCTTCAGCACCCGTGCCTCCCACAAAGGCTTTAGTATCCATGCCCTAAAAGGAGGAATAAGGAGGACAAATCACACTACTGCTGCTCAGTAGCTATATAATCTTGGGTAAGTTATTTATCCTCCAGGCCTGAGATTCCTCATCTATAAAGTAGAAATTATCACAGTATATTCTGCATATAGTTGCTATGGAGACTGAATAAAATATCGAATGTGAAGTATTTAGCATATGTGTATGTACACATTAAAGATTAACAAAAAGTTGGCTAGCTTTTTATTTTGCTAAGTAAAGACATTAAGGAAAAAGCAGAACCTTCATCGACTATCACAATCATTTCATAAAAGAAATGACATAGTACAATCCAGAAAGGAGAACATGACCTCAGAATTTACAATTTTAATTTGAAAAGTTATTACATTATCTTTGTTGCTCATGTTTCACCATAAATCAACGAAAACTTCACCTTGTGCCAACCTCAATCTACAGACCTGTGTTTGGAAACCAGTGTAGTGACTTTCCAGTTGTCTTATTCATCAAAACTTACCTACCATAGTCTCATTCCCTTGAATCCCAGTTCTCTTTTCTAACATTATATCTCACTGGTCTATAGTTGATGCAGATGGATAAATGTATTCATCTTTTCAAGAACATGTGCATGTTCTAACCAAATTGTGAAAGGAGTAGTGAGAATTTCAGACCAGTTGTCAGTTCTAGGGGAAATCAATGTGGATGCTTGTGCCCTTTTCAGCATCCTGAAAGTCCACCTGCTTTATATATGCTTAGAGCTGGTCCTATACTCAACCTTCCTGTATTGAGGAAAGTTACATCTGCCACAGATAGTCTGGACCTTTGAGAGGTTTTCTCAGCAGCACCTGAGGACCACACTTAACTATCACTGTAAAGGAAATAATGGTCAGATAGTTTTCCTAATTAAATTTCAATTTATGCCACTTCTGATCAAAGCTAATCATCCTTAGTAGATCTTTGACTGTCATGACCCTGACGGGAAAAGAACTTATCTGGCGGTAGTTTTCTTCCAAGGATTAACATGAATGAGGCCTGTCATGCCCTGACCATCAGAGGTGGAAAATGATGGGTTTTTTTAGGGGCTAAAGCAGCAGCACTGAGGCAACAAGATGTGATTTCATTTCAGGTGTCACAAGTGGAAATGACAATGTAGCCTACAAGGCACTATGATGACAAGTATGGATCTGGCATCAGAAAGCATTAATTCAAACCTAAAGTTAGACACCTATCAGCTATGGAAAGTAGTTAATCTTTCTAAATTTCAGTTTCCTGAAAATAGGTTAAGAATAGTACCTGCATCAGAAGACTATTAAGAGGACTAAACAAGTTAACTCATGTGAAACGTTTCAGCACAGTGTCTGCCATGGTGAGCGTTGGTTAATGTCAGCTCTGTGTTGTCATGCATACTGTAACAGGATGTGCCCACTTAACTGCCGGCCTCATTAACCACTTGTACTAAGTATATTTGCTGTTTTAGTTAGAGCCTACCCTGAAATCACAAAATATGCAAACTCAGGTCCAGATCTGAGCAAATGCAAGGCATCTCTCGGAGTTCCCCTTTTCATCGGTTCCACAGAAATATCCCAGCCTTTACTGAACTTTATTTTACTTCCTCAAATCACGTCTCACTTCTCTTTTGTTGCTAATGTCAGTCCTGTTTCACTCAGATTGTTTCTAAGAGAGGACTTTCTTTGTTGTTGTTTTTGGTTTGGGGTATTGTGATTGACAGCACCTTCTTCCATCATGAGCAAATATTACTTGGGTTGCCTAGTAGGTGGAACGTCTCAATCCACATTATTTCTCAAGAGTGATGCTCAACAAGTGTGTCTTCAGTGGTCAGATTTCATCATTGCAGCCAATTTTCAATTATCCACATAAAAAGTTGTTGGTCCAGATAATAGAAAATTACAGATCCTAAAATTATGGTTAACCATCCAGTCAGTAGAGTTGAGCCAAACATCAATATGTACCCAGTGACAATGCCAATCTAGTTAAAGGAATTTAGTCTCCCTATAATCTCCTTGAAAACCTATCCTTTGATATGGATACTTGACATATTCTCAATTTTATATAAAGAACTGAGAAATCAAAGCTTCAAGTCCTTGCTTCCAATGAGATGGTGGTTCCTACATTCCTGTAAAATAGAAGTTCTAGAGCTAGCTCTGTCAGAGGTCTGGGCTCATCTCAGGTAATGTGTCAACCATGTAGCTAAGTCATGACTATGGCCAGGCCATTATGCACACAACTCTTCTCCAATGCACATACTCCAGGGAGTGATCAGTGTACATCTGGCCTGCTTTATCTTCCTAGAGCTAGCTTCAGTAGATAAATAGAGGGGAAAATACAACCAGAGGCAACCCATTTCAACAGGGGAATGCAGCCCATTTCAACAGGGGAACGATGAGACTTTTAGACATGTCTTCTTCACATCATCTACTCTTAACTTTCACCACTGCTGCTTTTATCCCCTGAAGTCATACAAGACAAATCCATTCTCCTTTGACTATTTGGAGGAAGCTATTACTTCCTGCCTGCCATTGCCATCAAGAACAGCATGACCTTGGCAGAATTACTTCAACCCCCTGAGCTTTTTTTTTTTTTTTTGCTTTTTTTTAAAAAATTCTAGAAAGGAGTTAATTGGACGAGGTGATCTTTAACAGATCACCTGTTATAATGTTATATAATTTTATCAAAAATCTCTTTTGATGCCAGTGTAGAATGGTTTATTAACCACATTGTTGTTGTTGTTTTGTCGCTAAATCGTGTCCAACTTATTTGCAACCTCAGAGACTGTAGCCTTCCAAGTTCCTCTGCTCGTGGGATTTCCCAGGCAAGAATATTGCAGTGGATTACTGTTTCCTCCTCCAGGGGATCTTCCCAACCCAGGGATCGAACCCACATCTCTGTGTCCCCTTCACTGGCAGCCAGGCTCTTTACCACTAGTGCCACCTGGAAAGCCTCCTATTAAGTGTATACTATATCCTATAATATACAATGTGCTTACTATACATAATTTCAAATAATCCTATGGGGAAATTATTATTTTTTACTTATAAGTGAAGAAACAAATGGTCAAAGAAATTAAATAAGCCATGTTCTGAATTTCTGATACTAGCCCTCTGCTCTAAGATAGGTTTTATCTCCATTTTATATTTTCTTGAGAAATTAACTTTAAAATCCCTGAGCTTGGTTGTCTTTCAAATGGGTCTGAAAACAAGATCGAGTTGACCTTCAGTTCAGCAGACAATGTGTCATGTTCTGTGGTTATTGCCATGAGATATAGTGAGGCTGCATGGGTTCATTTTTGGAGAACTGGACCTAGGCTTACCAAGAAGGGTAAAGGTTTGGAAGTTGGTAAGAAATCAGCACCAGAATTCTCACCAGTACTTTTACTTTTTAATTTTTTTAATATATTTTTGATCAGAGAATAATTGCTTTACAATATTGTATTGCTTTCTGCTGTAAAACACCGTGATTCAGCCATACGTATGCATGTGTCACCTCTCTCTTGAACCTCTCTCCTCTCATCAGTACCTTAAAAAAACTGAAGATGGGCTTCTCTGGTGGCTCAGATAGTAAAGAATCTGCCTGCAATGAGGGAGATATGAGAGGAATAGCCACCCACTCCAGTGTTCTTGCCTGGAGAATTCCATGGACAGAGAAGCCTGGCGGGCTACAGTCCTTTGGGTCGCAAAGAGTCAGACACAACTGAGTGAATAACATTTCCAAAGATGTTATTATACAAAGACAGTCATTCCTCCAGCGTACAATCACTAGGGCCTGCTGTATTCCAAATTTTGAATTAGTCACTTTTACTTAAAATCTTTCATTTATTTCTCATAAGAACTCTGTGAAGCACCAGTTAATGTATGTATAATTATTCTCTTACACAGTGGATAAATGACTTGCTCAATCAGTAAGTAGAAGGTCAAGATTATGACCAAGGCCTTTGGGTTCCACATTCCAAATCTTCCCACTCTGCCAGTATTTCCCAAAGTGTGTTTCAGTTCACATTCATTCCCCAAAATCCTTTTCCAAAAAAGAATGCCACAGTTTGATTCAGCACACGGTGGGATTCCTTAGAAGTTCATAGCACTTAGCACATTCAAGTTTCTCAGAAATTTCTGGAAAGGAAATGTGTTTAACAATTTCCTTCCTAGATTTCCCTAAGCTTATTTGCAAAGGCACTTTTTAATTCAATTAACACATGTTAATATCATGAGTTATTCAAATCCTGTATACCCCTTTGAGAGATACTGTACCACACCAACCTATATTAGAAAGTAATTTCTATAGAAAAGAATTCTCATCATAAGCTATCTTTTCTCCTCATGTTAAAAAAATATATTTTCCCATGAGTTAACTAGTAGGTCTCATGAGACTGTAAGCCAGATGGCTATAGCAATTTAACAAACTTCCTGGCTCTTTACCTAGGAGAATCGAATGTTGCTGTAGAGTTATACAGACGAGACTACCAAATGGGAATACAAAAAAAGCACATAAATAAGTATTACATTTTCTTATGGTACATATTCTACATTCTGAAGGAGTTTATTTATGCATGAAACATACCATTTACCCCTTTCCCAAATTCTTGTTGCTTGACATACTTTACATTTTTATTCCAATGAGAAATGAAGGAAAAGGAGTTTTTGAAATATTACAGAGAATTTTGTAATTGCTTGAATCCACTAATGATGCCTGGCATTATTTAAAACTGGGATTGGAAATCATTGTGTCTAATAATTAAGTTGGGTTTGGTTATGAAATTAATTACTAAATTCAACTGTTTAGTCAATTGCTTATTTTTAAGATCTATTGCCAGTTCACATGGGTTCTGTGGCAGGTTTTAACATTTTTAAAAAGTCATTTTTTAGTTTGTAATCATGTGTCAACATCGGTCTTGGAAATTTCTCAGTGAAGGTCATTGTTTAGGAAGTGAAATAAAAGTCTCAGACGGTGACACTCAGAAAGGCAAAACTGGGGATGTGTATTTTATTGAAAGTAACTGGAAAAATAAAGGGAGAAAAGCTAAGTAATTCATTGCTAGAATGCACATAAGTATCTTTTGCTACTTGTC